ACACACAGAAAAAAGCCTCAGTTTACTTTCCTTCAGTTGAATTTGGTTTTAGCCCGTGTTGCAGCACGGGGGCATAATGTTACTGGTGCCAAAGTGCGATCCCTGTTTGTGTGTTGTGGAGTGGGGATCCAGCTCCGTGTGCTTGCTGTATTTGTGTATTTTATTCACAAGTGTCAAGTTAGTGTGTCTCCCTGTGTTGTGGTCTGAGTGTGTGCGTGTGTGTGTGTGAGAAAGAGTGTGTGTACATTTGTGATTGTGATTAGGCTGGGTGAGTGCAGGGACACACTGTTTTCCTCCAGTCCCAGTGTGAGGCTGCGATGCAGAGTGACGCTTATTTCTCTGATCAGTGCCAAAGCTCAGCAGGGGGGGGGTTGGGTGGAGGTTTGGGGAAACAAATACTGATCTGGGACACACATCTCTGTCTATGTGTTTTCTTTTTCTTCGACTGTGTCACTTCTTTCTCTCTGTCTCTCCGTGACTCCCTCACTTGTTTTTCTCTCTTTTCTAACTCCTAGCCCCCTGCTGATTTCTACCACCAGATATGCCTCCTGCAACTTCTTCTTCGCACAACCTAAATCCCTACACCCATGTAAATGCCACTAAATAACACATGATTATAACTTGTGCTTCAACACCATGTTCGCCGGGGAGTTGACAAGCATGAGGCTATGGGAGATGCAACTGCTAAAAAGACACCGTGTTTGCAGGTTAGCAGCCTTATAGTGCAGAACAGGTGAACAGCCCAGAGTACTGTTTACAAGATCCTTAAAGATACTACAACAGCAACCCATCACCCTGACCCTTAACCAGCCATTGCCATGTCAACCAATAATCACATTTGAGAATAGACAGCAGTCAGTCAGTGCGTTTACATGCAGAGCTTAATCAGACTCAGCTCATAATTTGGTTTATTCGCCGAATCAGACTTCTCTCCTTGTCTGCGTACATGCAGCTGAGAAAATTGAATTATTGATGTGAACGTGTCCTCCTCCCCAAAACTAGGGGGCGATATGGGTTTTTTCAGCGGTGCTGTTACCGACCCCATACAACCGTCAACAACAACAGCAGGTCCTTGCCAGACGTCAGAAGTGGCTACAACTGCTGCTGGGCATTTTCGAGCAAGAAGATTGCGCATCGTACAGTGTTGTTTTTGTCGTACATGATGTATGCGCTACTTTTCCTGCAGATGAGGTGCCCGCTACTCCTCTTCTTTGGTGTTTTTGTTGCAGGGTTATGGGGGTGTGGCACACGTGCACGTGCATTGTATTATCATACTCCTACTACGCTGGTTACATGGTAGAGACCATTCACAAATCTTCTCACTCTCTTCGGTTGTCAAAGGGATTATAGTCGGACATTTTTAAGTGCAAGGTGTTCTTAGTTAAAATAGGCAATAAAATTCACTTTTTTTCTAAATCTGCACTCTTCAGTTTAAATTCCTTAAAATGCCTTTATTTTGTTCTGCAATTATATGTTTTCACTTCAATTATTGCTCTATAAATGACAGTACTTGATCATGTAAAACTGTTTTCTTCTTGAGTATATTTATTTTATGCTCACTATACTTACTCTCTGGTTGTCAAGGGATACTTATTGGGACATTATGCCTGTAAGTAGCAAGAAACTTTTAATAACTTAAGAATAGGCCATAAAGCCTCATTTCTTCTCGATCATTTGCTAGTAAACACGACTCTGGTCTTAAAAATAAAAAACGTCTTTTGTTGGTAGCTTTACTTGGCTGTAAACATTACACAATCTTTGTCATAAAAAATTACCTTAGATAAGTGTGGGAAAATGTGTTTTTTCTTCTTCTTAGGAATATAAAAGATTATGGGTAATTATGCTACTTCTTATTCACCCATAATCGGCTAATCCCATTTGAGTCAAAGTGTTTTTATGAATATGATAGCTATTTTTAAACGTTTAAGCACTGTGAGAAGTTAAGCTGTTTACCAAAGACTCTGACATTCTCTTCTGGCTGTACAACACTGTGTCAGAAGTGAAAGGCCATACAAATGTAACAGCTTTTTGTTTCAGTACAATTTCATGTCTGGCCTCAGCTCTCCATTACACAATCTTTGTCAAAGCAAAATGGCTCCTGACATATCCATAATAGCTTTCTGTAACACTGATGTCCCTGGAATTAGCTTTGCTGCATCAAAATAGTTGCGCTGAAACAGGGCAAATTGTAGTTGCTGATCTTTGAACCAAAGTGGTTGTTTGTGTCTTGTCTGTAGTTTTCACAAACATTTCCCACAGTGCAGCTGAATGTATGCTGGAAAGACAACAGACAACACACATTTCTCTTCTGGCTGTAAGGAAACCACACTAAACTGCCTCCCCTGAAAACAGGATAAGTGTCTTAATTGGCCCACATTTACAAATGTAACAGCAGTTTCTGTCTCTTTTAGGGTGTGTTTTTACAGTCATAATGTGTTGCTGGCTGCTGACAGCATTTAAGAACAAATAAAACAAAACAGGAATAGAGAAACATCCCAATTATTTTTAAAGACTCGGCTCACTGGCAGATGGTGAAAAGGCACCGAAACAAAGGCTCACACATCTGTGTTGTTTCTGCACACAAATCCAACAACACAACAGCAAAAAAAATGGCAAACAGCAAATGGAGGGAAGAGCTTATCTACAGTTGAGTTGGACTTTTGATGTCTACGATGAAGCTGTAAATGTTTGATGAACTGGCTTATTTACTGACTGATATTTGAGTTCATTTGTAGCCGGCCACAAACTCCCTACAGTCCTCTTTTTCTTCATCATCTTTCAAAAGCAGATTCTTCATATCAGGTTCGACCCTGTCAGACCAAGCGGACATGTTCTAAAAAGGGTTAAACTACTTTTTAAAACTAATTAGAAACTATTTTCCTTTCATGCAGCCATTTACACATGTCTTCAAACATCATCACCACCTTCACACCTTATTTCTATGTGCATAATAATGGGTGAGGGGAAAAGACATTCACCAGTGGCATGAAAGAAATAAACTGTGTTGGACTAAGCTGCCCCTCTGTGTGTGTGTGTGTGTATGTGTGTATGTGTGTGTGTGTGTGTGGTGTATAAGTCCTCAGAACCAAAGCAAGCTTTAATTAATGGTGCTTGATGATCAGCGGGCAAAAGCAAACAGCAACTAAACGAGCTTGCCCCCCCGACAGGGAGGATAATTGCATTTCAGTAAATACCAACTCTGGGGCTCTTAATAGTATTATTGTTCTAGACATTTGAATATAAGGATGGAACATGCTTTGGCCACTTAACACAATTTCTTCCCTGCTTTCTGTGTTTTGATGCAAAACTCTAATTTCTCGAGGGAAACCACTCAGAGCCTTTCTTTTGTTTTCAGATATTTTTGTTTTTGTTTTTGGTGTTAATACTCATGAGGAGAAAGTGGATATGAAGGTGGTTAAGCAGCCTCTCCTTGTCTCTCACTTTGTCTCACACTTTTTTGCTTCTTTTACTCACCTTTTCGTCTGTCCTCTCTTTTCATTAATGAGTGCAGCTAAATAGAGTTGTCTGGAGCATCGCAGGAACACTTTGTTATGGTCGTCCCTCCCTCATTGGATATGAACCTGAGATGTGCTCCAGTGCTGCAGCCTGTATGAGATTAATATGCAGCTTCCTTTTTATTTTTAGAGGAACATTATGGGCTCACTGCCCTGTCATTACTCCTCCAAGAAGCAGCAGGAGCAGCAGCTTCTTCCAGGGTTTTTTTTTACATCTCTTTCTCTCTGCAGACACTTGCTTTCTCTTTCTGGGGTGAATTACGCAACCTATGCAACTCTGATGTTTAAACAGTTTATTTGCTGTTGTAGGTGTAAAGTTTGCCAGACAAGCAAGACACAGCTTTAATTTGTGGACATCTTCAACGTAACACAATTTCTCCACTTTGAAAGCAACTAACTTTTATCTTAGGCTATGTGCTCATCTTACATTTGGTAGATAATGGTTAAAGCCAAATGCAAAAGCTCTTACATTGTGTTTGAGATAAAGAAAAAGCTGTAAACACTCTCTTTAATGCTGTTTTGTTACTATCAAGTGTGAATGAATCTATTTAGGTATCTTTTTGTAAAATAACTTAAATCTTTTCGCTTTTTTCCCCTGATTAGTGTCAGTATTTTAGTCTTAGAGTTGCAGGATTGAATTTTTGTTTCAGTGCAAGAGGTGATTTGATCTAATCTTGGAGACCATAAGCTCTTTCTTGGGTATGAACCTGAGATGAGATCAGAGGCTGGATAATATGAGTCAGCGCCACAATTTGTGGATGAAAGTGATCAAACAAATGTTTGCAAAAAAAGCTTAAAAATTATTGGTTTCAAGAATTTTATGATTTTTTACATGTTGTGTCTGAGTGTGTGTGCCTGTCTGCATTGTCTGTGTGTGTAATGCTGAGACTTTGCAAAGACCTGTGGTGTTTTCTGCAACTGCTTGCAGTTTTGTGAGGTAAAAATGTGACTCTGATGTTTAAACAGTTTATTTGCTGTTGTAGGTGTAAAGTTTGCCAGACAAGCAAGACACAGCTTTAATTTGTGGACATCTTCAGCGTAATTGCACAACTTTATCCTCTTATCCACCTTTGAAAGCAGGTGAGCTTGGGAGAAAGAAAGCAAATATGCAAATTGCCACTCAATCAATTGGTGCATCGACTGGAGGTAGACAAGAAAGGGTTAAAGCCAAATGCACGCTGATCTTAAGACTTGCTGATGCTGCTGGCTGAAGCTCTGTCTAAACACTCTCTTTATGCTGTTTTGTTACTATCAAGTGTGAATGAATCTATTTAGGTATCTTTTTGTAAAATAACTTAAATCTTTTCGCTTTTTTCCCCTGATTAGTGTCAGTATTTTAGTCTTAAAGAGCTGCAGGATTGAATAGTTGTTTCAGTGAAAGAGGTGATTTGATCTTATCTTGGAGACCATAAGCTCTTTCTGTGTTTCTGTGTTAAGCCAGTATATACCATACAGGTCTCTCCTCGCCCCTTCCTCAGCACAGCCATGACGTCCCTCACCAGGACACGGACCTGCTTTTTTGTCTGCTGCTTCCTGTCCAGTCTGGCACTTCCTGTGACATCACAAACAGTGGTGCAGGCTCACAGTGCTGGCACACAGGTGATCACAGCGTCCCTTCAGGAGGAGGAGTATGCATCGTTTCACGCTGAGAACCCTGAGTGGACATTCAACCATCTAGCAGTGGACTATCGCAATGGTAATGTTTATTTAGGGGCCGTTAATCGCATATACAAACTGTCTCCAGGCCTGGAAGTCCAAGTTTCTCATGAGACTGGCCCGGATGAAGACAACCGCAAGTGCTATCCACCTCGTATTGTTCAGCCTTGCAGTGAGCCTCTAACGCTCACCAACAATGTCAACAAGATGCTTCTGATGGACTACAGGGAGAACCGGCTGTTGGCATGTGGCAGTCTTTACCAGGGCATCTGTAAACTCCTCCGCCTTGATGACCTCTTCAAACTAGGAGAGCCCTTTCACAAGAAAGAGCACTACCTCTCAGGCGTCAATGAGAGTGGCTCTGTGTTTGGCGTCATTGTGTCATATGGCAATGCCTCTCCGGACATGCTGTTTGTGGCCACAGCAGTGGACGGCAAGCCAGAGTACTTCCCCACCATTTCTAGCCGCAAGTTGGCCAGAAACTCTGAGGAGGATGGCATGTTTGCCTATGTCTTCCATGATGAGTTTGTGGCCTCCATGATAAAGATCCCCTCAGACACTTTTACTGTCATTCCAGACTTTGACATTTACTACATTTATGGCTTTGCCAGTGGGAACTTTGTCTACTTCCTGACTTTGCAGCCTGAAATGGGGGGTGGACCAACCACAGGGTCCTCCTCTGCTGGCCGTGAACAGGTGTACACCTCCAAGATAGTCCGCCTTTGCAAGGCAGACACCGCCTTCAACTCCTATGTGGAGGTGCCTATTGGATGCATTAGTGGCAATGACTAGTCCAAAGCTGGTGCCATCCTGGCACGCTCACTAGACGTGGCACCGGACGACGATGTTCTGTTCGCTGTCTTCTCGAAAGGCCAAAAAAGCGCCCAGGCCTCACAGGACATTATCATTTGCGGAAGATCAAGGAAGCATCAAGGGCACGCTGGACCTGGCTTGGCTCAAAGTCAAAGACATTCCCTGCAGCAGTGCGGTGAGTACAACTTATGAGCATACACGAACAAACAAAGATTTTGTCACTTTGACCAGTAGGTACACAAATAAGTTTCTCCACTGTAGTCCACGCTAACATGTAGGGATTTACTCTAATCTACCAGATCAACAGCCCCACTCACTCAGTGACATGATTCTAAATGAAACTCAGTAAGACAAGCTATTATTTCTTACATTTTAATCATGTCAAAGTGAGAGACACTACATGTGTGTATCTGGAGAAAAATCACATGTGATCAGACGTCATCCATATGTTACTATAATGAGCCTGCGGGAGGTCTCCATGGATAGCGTGCTCTTGGGCGGGTTCATGCTCCATCCTATTAGAATGAGATATTAACCATCCATCGCCTCTTTTAATCTGCTCACCCTTTAAACAATGCAGCTGAACGCTCAGCCAAATTACCATAATTCAATTCTCCATAACAGCATTACAAATTCAGTGATTCAGTTCATTTGATTTCTCACTTTATGCACATAAAAAAACAGGGTTAAATTAGGTGTTTCATGTTTGGACCGTCTACATCAGCAGCCAGAGCTGTTTGAGCATTTTTTTTGTTGATCTCATATTACGCCATTAAAGAAGGCTGCTAACCTGAAAGTACTATAACATTACCATGATCAGAGTGCATTTGTTATTAGTTGTTATGTTTTTCTATGCAGCAAGTGTGTTGAAATGAACTCTTCTTATTGTTGAGCTCAGACAGGTGTCGATAATGGGTTGAAAGTGTTTATCAGGTAAAGGTTTATTGCTGCAAATGGTAGAGTATTTTTACTACAAGAACGCAAGCATTTTGAGCATAGACAGCATTTTCCTCACTCAGGCCAGCCATCTTTACTATCTACATGAGGTACAAATGAGAATTTATACAGCCATAAATACTGGTGAGAAGAACTTGATCGCTCTGTCGTGATCATATTTCAGAAACATAAATTTGATCCCCTTGCGGCTGCTCAGTCCATATTGTTCTGACCTCGGCCGTGCGCTATCTGCAGACATCTTCCGAAGTTGACCCTCTCTCGTGTTTAGTTCTGGGATCTCAGTGTTTATCTATTACTCCGTCTCTGGCGTGGCACACGTTCTGGGGCGCCTTTGTCTGCCGCTTGAGGGCCTGATAAATCATGCCTGGGGGGAGGAGGGGGTGCTGTCAGTAGAGAGAGGAAGTGAGAGGGAGCACACAGGGGTTAGCACTGAGGAATGATGCCATTTCAGCATGTGCCACAGTATCGCCACTGCCACCGCATAAATTAGACCCTGCTGAAGAACGTGGCACCGGACGACGATGTTCTGTTGCTGTCTTCTCGAAAGGGCACACAAGTGATGCCAAACTTCCAAGTGTGGCTACTGCAAAGATGGAGCTTAAAAGGCAGAAAGAGTACTTTGATGAAACGGAGTAATAGCAATAAATACCGTTATATTTGAAAGGTTTATATGTGATGTATTCAGATGAGGACCAGATAATTCTTGGCAGCTTTAGAGTCATAAATAAAAGGACATATTCAAAGGGATAGACTCACATAAACACACACATAAATCAGAGGCCGATTGTCTACGCATTAACAAATTAATAGATGTAAATATTGTCATTGTAAATCACCAGTGGATCTTTTTAGGATGAGAGCATAATGAAGAGTTGGACAACTTCCAATCACACAGTGGTTGTATATCAAAAACCTAGTAGTGAAGTATCTCAAGAATCGTCGCTACTTAGCTGCTGAATTATTCTTTCTCCGATTCAAGTTTCACATGACTGAGAACGCGCTGTCTCCAGTTTTATCTGGTTTTAACTCATCGTTCACATCTCTGACCCTCTGTGCCCCTCTGGCGTGTGGAGAGCCGGTGTGGAAGCACACACTGCCCTCAGACTCACAGGATCGTACTCTGTGTCGAACATACCAAACATGCTGCTCAAAGGATTGTGGAAGTCAGACTGCCTTTCTGGTTCTTGCACTTTTAAGATTATCTAAGTGAGCAATCACACAACCACATAAATATCTAATAGGGGTCTTACTCAACTCTTAGGCTTTTCTTACACAAGCTTTCTCTGCAGTCTCTGAGTTTTCCCTCAAAAATATGAAAAATGCAGTGGAGGTTTGTGATTTTAGGATGAAAGATAGGATCCAAACTTGGATGAAAAGTTGCTTGACTTTACATTTAATGACAAACTGTGTGGCTAAATGTCTTTTTAAGAAGTCTGATGCAAAGGGCATTTATTCAACCTCCCCAAAAAAGTGAACTTTGGCTCGTTAAAGAGCTCATTTGTTTTTCCCCGCCAGATTCCTGTAGCGCTTTTTAACTCAAAGCTTTGCAGAAGGACCTTTTTCAAATAAATCAAAGTGGCCGGTGTCCACTCAGAGCACAAAGCCCAACAGGGATGTGCATGCGATAAAATCAGCTTATACAATAATGATGTCATTCATCCAGCTATTTTTGTGCTGTGTTACGGGCTGAAAGACACTGAAATGTTAATGTTTTTAAAAGCCAGACAATCAAATCATCCAAGTGTTTTGGGTAAAAAGATGTTCAAGGACATGTGTTTATTTACAAGGTGGGGGAAAAAAGAGTGCACATCTCTCAAGTATCAGACCTTTGTTGCTTTGCATCCTCTTAAAGAGGCTTTCAGCTGAAGTGGCAGAGATGAAAAAGGGAGAAGTAAAGAGGAGAAAGTACAGAGAGTGTCATGATGGGTGAGAAAACAGTGGAGTGGGTAGATGGTAAGAGGGAGTTAAGGGGCCTGCTTCTTCTCACCCAGAAACAGCCATGCTTGGCTGAGCCACATAATGCATGCTCAACAGTATAAGTCTGCAAAGGGCCTGCATCCATAGATCATTGTGAAGTGGCATGTGACCTATAAAAAAACGCTGCCTGCTCCCTCCATGTTCACTGTGTCAGCAGAAAAAAAACAGAACAACAAAACAGCGGCATCGCAATAAATTCTCCCTCTCTGCTCTCTTCCCTCACATCTTTGATTCATTGCTCTCTGCCTGTGCTGCTCTTTTCTCCTTCTACCTGTCCTTCTCTTCATGTTGGGATAAAAATAGTTGCCACCATCGGATCTTCTCATTCTCAGTCCCTGTCCTTTATTTCCTTTCGCAATGCCTTCCATAAGCACACTGAAAGTACCTCGTTCAACCTCCTCTCTAAACACAGAAGAGAAAATTACAAGGTCGCCTGTAAGTCCCTGACAGGCCACAGCCATCCCCTCATCCCTTCTGCTAATGATCATTAATTACATGTCATTAACTAACATGCCACGGGCTATTCTTCCACATTTGTCATGTGCTATCGACTGCACATTCTGAATTCACTCCAATTAATTAGATTATTCTACTTGGCCGCCGCTGTTTCTTTGAGTCTTTCCTTGATCTCTCCCGACACACATGCTCAACCCTCTCCCCGTTTCATCCTCCACTTGAAAGAACTCCTCCAATATGACATCCTCTGTATTCCTTCCACGCTCTTATTTCATGGTATCGACTCTTTCTTTCTTCTGTTTTCTCTGTGTTTGCCCGGCCTTTGAATTGTGTTGTCTCTCTCCGCGCTGACCATCTCTCCATCACTCCTCCCCTGTCTGATTGCGGAGCTTAATCAGCCTCTGCTGCCACTGATCAGTCAGTCTCAGCCACATCCCCAGGAAGTGAAAGGCTAGTGGATTCATTAAGAACATCCAGACTGCACCCCCCTCCCTCCGCCTCCCCTCCCTACTTCACCCCACTCTACCCACATATCCGCTATCCTGGCTCGCTAATTAAATCTCCATACATGATACCACTCGCTAAAGGTCAGAATCCATCACAATATCATTATTCTGTGATTAAACAAATGTCTTGCGCTCCCTTCACTGTACTCCACTGGCTGGCGGTGGCATTCATTTGAAGACGGGGACTGAATTGGAGACCTTAATTTCTTGCTTCTGTTGTCCTCTCATCGAGCTGTGTTTTGTCTATCTTTCTATCCCGTAATTCGCAGTTAACTGCCCAAGCCTCTATCAAATCCTCTTCAACCCAATAAGCAACAATAAGTTATACATATATTTATTGTCTTTCCTGTATAGAAGGTAAAAAAAGCAAACTGTTGAATTCCATTTGAGTTAAACAAATAACTAGTTATTGACTTGTCGTGTCTCTTTCAGACTCTCACCTGTCTATCTTTCTCCCTCTCCACACCTTGGTGAACATAATTATCTCCTGCAAAGAGTTTTTAGGTTGTTTTACTACCTTGAATTATTAATATGCATTAATCCTTTCTCAAAGTGAGGCACCCTGCAGCGGTTCAGACCTTCATATCTCAGAGGTTTTCTCATCAAGTTTCCCACCATAACCAAAGAGTGTTGTTGAGTAAATAGTTAAATAATAAATGTACTGTACTCTTCCAGTCTTGGAGGAGTACCCAAAATGACAGCTGTCTTATGTGAATGAGTCATCATCACAAGTTTAGGAAGTTTAAATGGATCAGTGCTTTGTGTTAAAATGACAGGACAAAATCACTGTGCCGGGGAGTACAGTCTTTGTTTATCCTCCTGATGGTCAGTAGATTTTCTGCCAGGATACTAACAGCCCCCCACAACCTCACTGCAGACATCTAAGCTAGTGTTAAATAGTGTTTGTATTCACTTACAGTATAAAAGCACAGTGCATGTCAACTTGTGCGACATTGGCATAGGTTTGGCTTTTTTGAGGGCACCAGTTGGACACCAATCATGTTTAAAAAGGTTTGTACTTGCCTCGGCCTATTCTGGTCACCAGCTACTTGACTGGTGCACTTCTACAAAAAGTGCAATGGT